CCAGTCTAGTTTCCGTGCTTCAAAAAGTCTATGTATTATATGGAAGAGTTGATCCAAAAAAAATACAAAGAAAGTATTTATAGAAAAGTATTTATAGAAGGAAAGCGTTATTACGGCAGTGGGAAAGTGACTGAAACCGGTATGTCAGGTCAGGACCAATAATATTGCAGATTCTTCTTTGGATTTTATCAAAAATCTCTAAATATATAGCGAGAACACCAGACCAGATGTGGCAGCAATATTGAAAGCAAGGGCGAATGGTAGACTTATAAATATGTAAGATAGATCTAGACAGTGAAATTGTCTAGCAGGACACAGTGAGCCAATTTTCCTAGCAACAGATCTAGCAATTTGTTTAAATATAATATCTATCTATCTATCTATCTATCTATCTATCTATCTATCTATCTATCTCAGTCTGTTCATATCTATCTATCTATCTATCTATCTATCTATCTATCTATCTATCTATCTGTCGGTTTGTCTGTTCCTGGAATTCTGTCGAAAGCAAACATAAATAAGCCAAGCGAAATCAATTCTGTTACAAAACAAATTTTGTCTGCCATTCCATCCAATTTTCCTGCAATCTTTAGAATCTGCCTGACTCCATTTTTACTTTCATTCATGCCATTTAGTTATATTTTACCGATTCAAAGAAGATAGAAAACGATAATTGTTTACAGTCGGCATTGCACAGAACGACTCGCTCCGACTGACAACTGTTCTCTTTGCCCGAAGCGTAAACAAACAAACAAAAAACCGGTTATCTTTTCGATTTCGGTGTCGATAGAAAGACGCGACTCAAATTGACTTGTGTTTAGTTTGAAGGTTGAGAGTACGACATCAAGTCGTCATTTTTGGCTGAGAAGAGAGAAAATAGTTTGCAAATGATAAGACGTTCTCTTCATTTTACTTTTCAGCTTTTCAAAGTGTTTTTGCATCAATTCCTTGATCAATATGGACGCCAATGTGGGCGGGAGGCGAGGAGACATCGCTAAGACATGACCAAGCACATTAAATATTGGAAATAGAAATTATCTATCTATCTATGTATCTATCTTCACATCAGTAACTGCATAGTCCAATAATAAAAATATATTTATTTTACACAGCAAATAGTTATTTTCCAACATAATCTCGTTCCTTCCTTCCTGTGTTTCTTCGCGCCTTCATTCGTTCCTTCCTTCCTTCCTTACTTTGTTTCTTCGCGCCTTTGTTCGTTCGTTCTTTCCTTCCTTTTTTCGTTCGTTCCTTCGTTCGATCGTTCCTTTCTTTCTTTTTTCAGGATTTCGTTCCTTCCTATCTTCATCCATTTGTTCGTTCCTTTCTTTCTTCCTTCCTTCTTTCCTTTGTTCGTTCGTTCCTCCTTTCCTTTGTTCCTTCCTTTGTTTCTTCCTTCCTTTGTTCGTTCGTTCCTTCCTTCCTTCCTTGCTATCATTCTTTCTTTGTTTCTTCGCGCCTTTGTTCTTCCTTTTTTCTTTCCTTCATTTGTTCGTTCGTTCGTTCGTTTGTTCTTTCTTTCTTTAGGTCCTCCCTTCCTTGGTTTCTTCCCGTCTTCGTTCTTTCCTTTCTTCGTTCGTTCGTTCGTTCGTTCGTTCGTTTGTTCTTTCGTTTCTTTGTTTCTTCAGGCCTTCGTCCCATTCTTCCTTCCTTCCTTTGTTCCTTCGTTCGTTCCTTCCTTTTTTCTTCAGGCCTTCGTTCGTTCGTTCGTTCGTTCGTTCGTTCCTTTCTTTCTTTCTTTCTTTCTTTCTTTCTTTCTTTCTTTCTTTCTTTCTTTGTTCGTTCGTTCGTTCGTTCTATCCTTCCTTCGTTTGTTGCTTCGCGCCTTTGTTCCTTCATTTCTTCGTTCGTTCGTTCGTTCGTACATTCCTTCTTTACTTCCTTCATTCGTTCGTTCGTTTCTTCGCGCCTTCGTTTGTTCCTTTCTTCCTTCCTTTGTTTGTTTGTTCGTCCGTTCGGTCCTTCCTTTCTTTCTTTGTTTCTACAGGCCTTCGTTCCTTCCTCTTCCTTCCTGGCATCCATTGTTCGTTCGTTCGTTCTTTTCTTTTGATTCTTCGCGCCTTTGTTCCTTCCTGTCTTCCTTCCTTCTTTCGTTCGTTCCTTCGTTCTTTCGGTCCTTCCTTCCTTTCATTGTTTCTTCTGGCCTTTGTTCCTTCCTTTCTTCCTTCCTTCCTTTGTTCGTTCGTTCTTTTGTTCCTTCCATCCTTTCTTCCTCCCTTTTTGTTTTCGCGCCTTCGTTCGTTCGTTCGTTCGTTCCTTCCTTCCTTTGTTCGTTCTTTCCTACCTTTGTTCATTCTTTCCTTTCTTTGTTTCTTCAAGCCTTCGTTCCTTCCTTTCATTCCACCATTCTTTCCTTTGTTCGTCCGTTTGTTCCTACCTGCTTTCCTTTATTTATTTCCTTCCTTTCTTCCTTCCTTTGTTCGTTCGTTCGTTCCTCCCTTCCTTCCTTTCTTTTTTTTTCAGACCTTCGTTCCTTCCCTTCTTCCTTCCATACTTCCTTTCTTCGTTCGTTCCTTCGTTCCCTCCTCTCTTCCTTTGTTTCTTCGCGCCTTCGTTTCTTCCTTCCTTTCTTCGTTCGTTCGTTCTTTCCTTCCTTCCTTCCTTCCTTCCTTCCTTCCTTCCTTCCTTCCTTCCTCGGATACTTATAAATTATTCACTAATCACAAACGTTGTGTATTATAAAATAAAAATTGAAGTTTAATAACTATGTCAGGTTATTTTTTCCATCCATTGCGTTTAACATTAACACCCGGTTTATAGTTTAGTGATATATAAATTAAATACTTACTGGAATCTAAAGATTTACTTGAATGATGGCCACTCTTAACTACGTTCTATGTATGAACGAAGGTTCGTTCTGAATACATTTAAAGAAACATCTGCCATTTGTATGAATTTTTACTGTGAAAAATGCAAATATTTGAACTATATACAACATAGAAAAAGCCAACACTTTAAACTAAACAAGATAACTAACAAAAAATAACAAATAAACAAAAAATCATAATAAATAAACAAATTAACAAACTACGAATGCAGACATAAACAAAAGTAAATGTAATAAAAATAATCAACAACAATTAATTAAACAATCAGTAATAAATAATAAGTAAAACATTAACAACATTATATAAGACCTACAAATTACATTTGGATTGACAATTATTTCTACCCTATAGTCGCTAGAATAATTTGAAATATAACCGATAGCGCCTACCCAATAACCGTTAGGATTAATAGAATAGACTTTACTACCCATAATGGTGACCAGCATATTTAAATATTCGAACTAACACATAACACACAAGGGCTGAAGATTGCATTCAAGCATAAAAACAGGCTTTGACTCCTCGGCGTTGATCACAGTGTTCATTTTTATATTTACATATGCTCTATCTTTGATATTGAGCACTGTTAACCAGAAATATAGCATACGCTAAAAATATATTTTATCATATATATATATATATATATATATATATATATATATATATATATATATATATATATATATATTATTTCGCCTATCTTGCAACTTTTGAAAACCTAATTATAAAGGAGGTCACATCATGCACAAGATATAAAATTAGCGTATCTACTGCTGGCTCTGGCTTTGTCATTGACCAAACTAAATATTCATTTACTATTGTCAAATTAGCTTCAAAATTGGGTTTTCAAAGGTCGCATGATACGCAAGTATAGATGGTATATATTGTTTGAGTTTGCCTATAATGTGATATGAGATAGATAGATAGATAGATAGATAGATAGATAGATAGATAGATAATGAAGAGATGCGATAAGCATATAGATAGATAGATAATGAAGAGACTGCGATAAACAGATAGATAGATAGATAGATAGATAATGAAGAGACTGTGATAGATAGATAGATATATAGATAGATAATAGGTAATGAAGAGACTGCGATATATATATATATATATATATATATATATATATATATATATATATATATATATATATATATATAGATAGATAGATAATGAAGAGACTGCGATAGACATACAGATAGATAGATAGATAGATAGATAGATAGATAATGAAGAGACTGCGATAAACAGATAGGTATTAAGATAGATAGATAGATAGATAGATAGATAGATAGATAGATAATAGGTAATGAAGAGACTGCGATATATAGATAGATAGATAATGAAGAGACTGCGATAAACAGATAGATAGATAGATAGATAGATAGATAGATAGATAGATAGATAGATAGAAAATTTTGTTTTTATCGAATGCTGACGGAATTGGCGATTGTATTTGCAAGTTGGAACCAATGGAATAGCAAAACCTAATCAGCTGGAGTTTGATGTGGACAATATGATGGAACAAATAATGGATTCTCTTTTTGCTTCCCCGACCTTTGGTCACCGTTGGACACCAAATCAAAAGTTGATTAAAAGACAAAGAAAACATTAAGAAGAAATTTCATAGATTCTCCAGGTGATTGACGATAGACCAATTCAAATAATAAAGTGTGACAAATAGAACGATAAGATAACAGGCAGCTAAAAACATTTTGTTTTATCGATAATAACATCGGCCACCCTCATCCGTTTATTTCAAAGCGGAGATGAAAATAAAGCCAATTAATAATGATTTAATTCAAGAAGAATTTAGGTGGGACCTAAAGCCTTCAAGAATCGAATGTAAAATCATTTGTGCATCTATCTATAGAAAATGGAATCAGCTAACCAAGTTCAAATTCAGGCTAAGGTAATTTCTGCTCATTTCGTAGAAATATCCGTCATAATATTTTAGCTTATTTCTGGTTCTGACATATTTAATTTAATTATTTAGTTTAATTTATTTTATTTCATTTTATTATTATTATTACTTTATTTATTTATTTAATTTAATTTAGGATTTTGCATAATTTATTTAATCCTAAGTTTGATATTTTATATAAAGTTTATTAGATTATGTTTATAGTTCATTAGTTATTCTTTTGAGTTTTAGTGTAGTTTTAGGTAACGTAATAGGAATTTGCTTTCATGTTTCGATTTGGAAATGGGTTTTGATCATTTGCTAAGTAGTTTATGCTATTCTGGAAAGGTGATGATTACTATTTCTTCCTCTAAAGTAAAGATGTTTTTGAGTTGGCGTTGTTGAAAGCTGGTACTGTTTTTTTTTTTATTTTTCATGTTATTTTGGTGTGATTTGATTTGTTTTTGGAGGCACGAAAACAAATTCCTATTATGTTACCTACAAACACATCACGACTCGAAAGAGTAAACAGTTAATAACTTAAATCTAATGGTGATTATCAATGTTCTTGGAGTCATCAGTAGTGATGACGACGTTATGCTTCCATTCGTCTTCCAACAAGACATCAGATTCAACACGGTGGCCTACATCATGTGCTGCTTTGGGTCAAGATTGTGGCTACTGGAAGACACTATGTCTGGCAACAAGCAGGAGACCCCAGTCATGGCTGTCAGATAATTTCTGCGACCACCTCACTTCTTACACGTGGCCACCTGACTCTCCAGACAGCAACCCCCTTGATTATTTATTTGTAGGGCGCAGTTGAGCAAGAGACCAACAAAACTCCTTGTAAGACCAAAGCTGAACTGAAGGCAAGGATTATGACAGCATTCACCAACTTAAACAAAGAGACCGTCCAGGAGAGTTGCAGGAGATCCCAAAGTCGTCATTTAGACGACAATTTATCCATCGCACACTGTATATGCAGTCAACGACACCCATCAATTTCAATATTTTTTTTTTATCCATTGTTCAGAATCTAATGCCCATATGATGCCAGGTTTTTAATATGTTAATAAGCACATATATATATATATATATAACTTAATTTTCAGAACAATAGGTGAAATACAACAAATTTGATAGGCGAATTGTGCAAAATAAGAAAACACAAAATTATTCATACGGTAGAAAATATCGTTTTAAATGGATTGATTCGTGTAAATATAAGTAATTTACATAATTATTTTATTGGTGAATCCTTCTAGCCTAGAATATTTGGGATAATTCCAGTAAAGAACATCACGTGGTGCATAGAGTGTCACCATTGTTATTCTTATGTTAACGACACGATGGAGAAGACAAAAGAGATTACTGTTGACTTGAGACAGAGAATAATTAACTGCCACAAGTCGTGAAATAGTTACACAAATATTTCAAAGCGGTTACATATTTCAAGATCTACGGTACAAGGAAGTTTAAACAGTTTGGCACGACAGAGAATTTGTCTGGGCGTAGAAGAAAACTCAAATTATCAACGAGAACTTCGCAAAAACTGTGTCGCAAGGTTAATTTAAATCCAAGTTTGGATACAATGGCTATCAGCGTAATTAGTCTCACAATGCAACATTGTTTAAATAGAAATGGTTTGTATAGAAACCGACCACAACGAATCTCTCTTCTTAAAACATATCACATTGTTGCTCGATTTAATTTTGCCAAAACATTCTTGAACAAAGAAAATTGCTTTTAGGAACAAGTACTATGGAGTGACGACACAAAAAATTGAGTTTTTTTTTTACATAATGATGTACAGAAGAATTGGTGCAAGAAAGGTGAGCCTTTCCGCCCAAAAGAGCAACATTAAAACATGGAGGCGGCTCGATGATGTTTTCGGGTTGTTTTAGCTCATGGAAGACTTGACAATTGCAATAAGAGGAATAATGAAATCTGCAGACTATATCAAAATTCTAGATAAAAATCTACAACTATCAACGCAAAATCTTCTTCTAAGTCTGCGAGAAGAAGAAGAAGAAGAAGAAGGAGAAGAAGAAGAAGAAGAAGAAGAAGAAGAAGAAGAAGGTTTTCATGCGTGTCTAACAGAGGTGCATAACAAAAATGGATGGTTAGATAGAGTGAAGGAGTGAACTAATTGGATAAAGAGGCAGCAAGAGAAAGAAAATTATGAAAATACACAGGGAGATAGAGAGTGTATCTCTCTCTCTCTCTTCCCGCCAGTGGAATCCTCTTCCGGTTTATGGCTTTCATAGTTTCAAAAGTTTAGATACAATTCAAATTGTCATCTGACTCCCGAATTATCTTTTAATGTTCACTCTCCTCAATAATGTTTTTTCAGTATCTTTCACTCTCACCATTGCGTCTTAGTGGCTTTATTTCCTTGATTAGGGTGAAAATAATCTAAAAGAAAAATAGGAGAGTGGAAAAGAAAAGTGTAAGAGGGAAGAAAACAGTGGAAGTAGAAAAGATAGAAGAAGAAAATATAAGGAGAGAAAGAGAGAAGAGTAAAAGCGAGAGAAGAAGAGCGTGTGAGTGAGAGGAGAAAGAAAAGATAGGTGGAGAGAGATAGGGGTATGAACGTTGAGATGGGGATAAATAGGGAGGCGAGGATGAAAGTAGACAGAGACAGAAAGAGAGAGAGAGAGAGAGAGAGAGAGAGAAAGAGAGAGAAAGAGAAAGAAAGAAAGAAATAAATAAAGAAAGAAAGAAAGAAAGAAAGGGGGGCGTATGGATTTTCAAACTCATTGATGTTCTTATGGCAAATTGTGCCAAAAGAAAATCACTGAAAGAAACGATTCTTCGTTCGCCTCATTGTCTGAAAGTGGCCGACGGCGGCCAGCTTCAACAGTTACAAGGGGACTGCCGGCCCGACGGCTTCTAATCGGTCATTTACTTGCTTAGGAAGTGAATTGCTTGGGGCTGAAATCGATGCACTGTCATCTTCGACCGTAATGGAATCAGGTGCTTAGAAGCTGAGTGAGAAAATGAAGTGGAAGCCGTTGTCAGGTGAAGCTATCACAAAATTTATCGATCCCTCTATCAATTTTTTGTATTTGTCTAACGCAGTCAAATTATATATATATATATATATATATATATATATATATATATATATATATATATATATAATGTGTGCGTGTGCGCGCGTCTGAATCATTATAATCATTTCAGTCTGTCTATCTCTCTCTCTCTCTCTATCTGTGGTTGTATCTTTCTTTCTCAATATGTTCATAACATAAAATTATTCTATTTTTTAAAATTATCTCTGCCTAACGCATTCACACATTCATAAGCACACACACACACAGACTCACGCGCCCGTACGCACTCCTTCCCACACTTTTATTATGATTTTTCAATCCATCAGTCGATTAGAGAGACCAGAACTTCCACAACATCTGCCAACCATGGAATCTCTGACATTAACGGCGATATTGTGCGGACACTGAAATGGTGACTGTCAGTCCACGCCTCAAGCGATCATCAGACCAAAGTTGTTACTCATTCCCCGGGCTTTATATATAAGCCATTCTATCAAAGGAAGTAATGCAAATAAGAGACCGGCCCCTCCTAGTGGTTTTGTTTAGTGCTAATGATTTCGCTTAGTTTATTTATAGTCTGGATTCGCGGGTAAATGCCAGTTTGGGCAAAAAAAACACCCTCACCCATTTTTGTTCTATTCGCCGCCATTTTTGGTTCTTTTGAATTTGTTTTCATTAATCTGTTGTTGATCGCGTGATTAGTTTAATTATACTGACTGGCTGACTGGCTGGAGGAAGTGTCTATGTAAATGGAATTGCCATCTAATTTTCTAAATGGTTGATCAATATCTACATTTGTGGATCTTAAAGCTATATCTAAGTCTACATTTTTTTTTATTTCTTTTAATGTCAATTTCGAATTCTATTTTTTAGAAAGATTTGAGATTTTTTCTGATTTCATTGGTTGAACCTTTAGTTTCTATAAAATCCCATGTTTTTTCTTTGTGAATAATTCCAACTGGTGCTTGACTGAATATATATTCAAACAAATTCGCAGCTTTTCTCTGTTATTCCTTTAATTGTGCCAAACTTTTTCTCTGTTCCTTTTTTTATTTATGTTCTTTCATTGTCGAATTGTAGCAATTTCGTGTGGTATTTTATAATTGTTAATTGGTTTGTTGTGATTTTTGTGTAAACTTTCGCTAGGGAAAAGGCTTTATCAAATATAGATTCGATTGTGGATGTATAGACCAAAAACTGTTCTTAGTTCAGAGTTAATTTCTTCTATAGGCTGCCCAGTAAAAATGCCTTCAATTCTGAAAGACGTGAGGCAACCGTTGAAAGTTGGTGATGGCTGATGTGACTGAAAAATCGAGGAAGAATTTCTTCACGTTTCGTCAATCCCCAAGCCTTCTTTGAAAAGTATGATAATTTGACGCCTAAAATCAGTGAGTTGTTTAGCCATTGTTTCTGGAGGGCAGAACGAAAGACGAATGTTGTCTGTAAATAACCTTTAAATGAGGAGTTCTCGCCTGTGGAACTCTCAGCTTTTTGTTTTGTTTCAACTACAAATTTAAATGAAACGTCAATCGTCACCTTCTATCTCGTTTAATCCTGTTTCTTTTAATGTCTCTTTTCCCCCAGTAATGTCTTTTCAGTTTCGTTCACACTCAGTAACCCTTTGTGTCTTTGTGGCTTTATTGCCTTGATTGAAGTGAAATATTGCTCAAAACATACTTAAATTTCGGCCTAGATATTTCGGGCACCAATGGGTCGTAACTTCACTAAATAAACAACTTAGACATATAAAATATAAATGTTAAAAAACAAAAAATGCAAAGAAGATGAAGATATTGCAAAAGATTAAATGATTTACCCAAAGTGTCTCAAAATGTCTAACCAGAATTCATCGAATGACTATTTTTATATTTTATTTCAGTGAGTGATTCACTTCAATCTATATTTGATCTAAAATTTACAACTTGTTTTTAGACTAACTTTAATTTGTGACTTTTTGTGTCACAGGTGTGCTGATATTCACAACCTATTTAGATTTGCGGTAAATAACTCATATATATATATATATATATATATATATATATATATATATATATATATATATATGTGTGTGTGTGTTATTGCAGAACTGATAGTTAAAATGATAGTAGCAGTTATTTCCAGTAGGCGCATAAAGTGGTAACAACAATATTAATAGGGAAAGTGGTAGTAGTTGTTATGAAATAATAATGATTAGGGGGGGGTTGCTTTGATTGCTGCACCAACTGTCATGGTGATGGCCTTAATGGTAGTGTCGGTAACGGTGCTGATAGTTTTATCGGTCTGTGTTAATTGTTATAGTGGTGGTGGTGTTTGTGGGCGTGGTGGTAGTGTTGGTAACAGTGCAGATAGTGTTAACGATAGGTGTTGGGGGTTATGTATTCGTGGTTTTGCTGTTCTTGTGTTTTAGCGTTTTACCATTTTTCTTTTTGTAGTTCCATTTCTGGTTGTGTTCAGATTTGTTGTCAGTGTTATCCGTTTGGTATGAACTGTGAGAGTAGATATTTATTTTCGTGTCTGCATTTTGAAATTATTTCCGATCTTTGGATTAGTAATTCCTTTTGTCGAGTGTGGGAGATTATTGCCACTTTTTCGGGCAGAAAAAGTAGACATCTCTAGGATATGTAATTGTAGGCAGGTACGGTTTTCATGATTTCCCAGTTTATTTTTGGTATGTTGTTTCTGTCTTTTAGCTGCCATATGCATGAGGACATTGTGCTGCTGTTGGAGAGTTTTCTGTTGTAGAATGAGAGTTCTTGGGTGTATTTTCGTTGCATGAATGGTCCTTCTTGTGGCGCCAATGTAATACTTTGCCGTTTTGTTTCCGTTTACCTTAGCTTTGTATACTATGTTCGTTTTTAGGTAATTTCCTTGTAGTGGGCATGTAGCTTTGCCTCTGCAGTTGCATTGGGTGTCTTTGATTACATCATTGCAAGCTATTATTTTTTATTATTTGTGTTATGTTTTTAGTGCAGCTGTACCTAATTTTTACAGTGTTTTTGTTAAATATTTTTGCTAAGGGGTGTGTTTCAGGAGAGCGTTGTTTATTAGATTTAGGAATGTCCTGCTGACGTTTGTTCTGACAGTTTTGTTGTATGGTGGGTTAAAGCAAATTATGTTTCTTTTTCTCTTTTGGTTGTGGTAGTGTGTATTCTGGCAGTTACTTGTATCCACTTTGTTTAGTGCGTTGTTATATGGCGTTTTTTGTCGTTAAAAATTTCTATGTTGGATGAGTTATCTGATAGCCTATGTATTTGGGCATGTGCTTGATGATCGAGGGTGGATTGTTGGAGGATATTTGTATGTATGTGGGAGTTTCTTTATCCGTTTTATATGGTTCATAGGTTTCTTTGTCCAGGTTGAGGGTGACGTCTAGGAATTTTATGTTTCTTGTGTTTATATTTATTTCTATTTTGAATCCAATCGTTTTTAGAACGTTTAATATTTATTTCCTAAATCTGTCTATTTTGGGGACATTTGATTTTCTTATTAGGTTTAAGTCATCGTTTCTATATAGGCCCATGTTTTTTTTTCTCTAGTATTCAGGCTAGGTATAAAAGGATCAGGATGCCTACCAGATCGCGGACGCCCCGTCATAGTTTCTCATTGTTATGTCAAACAGGCCATTATTTTTTTTGCCCACAGTTCGTTGTTGTGGATAGGGATTTCTGGGAATGTTTAATTATTATTGTTTCATCATCCGTGATTTGTACATGCTGTTGTGTTACTTGTATAGCTTTGTTCAATTAATTTTCCGTGGTGTAGGGGTAAAAGGTCGAACTGGATGAAAGTAGCTTTATTTTGTTTTGTATTTCTACAACCCAGTCGGTGACTGCTTTGGTATTTTTCCATTGGTTAAGTTCTATTTTTTTTTCTTAATATGGTGTTGATATTTTCTAATATGTTTTTACTGATTTTCCCTATTTCGTTTTTTTCAGGGTTGATTAAGAAGAATGTGGGTTTTGTATCGAAGTTAGCTTTGTGGTCCTTTTCTGTCATGAATGCTTGTTGTTCAGCCATACGATTTATGCTCTTGTCTATTTTCAGTTTAGCCGTTATATTTTTGGCTTCCAAGCTTATGTCTTTTTTTTGCGATTTCAGTTGTCTTTTTGTATAATTGTCTAATGTTGTTAGTTATAAGGTCTTTGTGGACCGTGGGTCCTGTTGTGTATCTGTTTGTTGTTTTGTTAGCAAATATGAATCCTTTTTAGAGTTCATTATTTTTTCGTTTTCTTTATAGTTTTTTTTTCTGGAAATTATCCAAGTGTCTTTTAAACATAATGTTTCTGACCATGTCTCCTATGTTATTTTCGAATTTCTTTGCATTTAGGTGGGCATTTTTTTTTTGCGTATGTATATATGCCCGAGTGCATGGATGTGTATCTGCGCCTAGCCGTGGATTATTTATATATATGCGTGTGAAAGCCAAGGTCACAAACTCATATCCATATAACTGAATATGTTAGCTCTATCACTGATATTCAACGCTTTCCACTTAGTACTGCACATCAAAAATTATATATATTTATATTGAAGGGAAGTTGTTAGATATAAGTTTATTATAAAGAGTATTGAAAAGAAAATATACGGAGAAGAATGTTAGATATGGCTAAGTATGGTACAAGGCTAATATTTGTGGAAGCTCGTAACTAACAAAAGTCTTCCACGACGATCGATATATGTATGTGTATGTGTGTGTATTCTTCC